TCTCTTCTCTTCTCTTCTCTTCTCTTCTCTTCTCTTCTCTTCTCTTCTCTTCTCTTCTCTTCTCTTCTCTTCTCTTCTCTTCTCTTCTCTTCACTCTATCAGCCTTTCTTTTCTAATTGCCAAATAATAATATCATTATATAATGATCACAATATACTATAATTACTCCATCCTTACAAGTGGCTTTTTCAAAGGGGATTTCTGTTCTATTTTAATTCCTTCTTGCCCCACTACTAAATTTGTCACGATTCTTGTGTTGTTTTGCAGTATTTTTTTTTTTTCTTAAGCCTCTTTCTTTTACGGTCGTCTGAGATTGTCTAATTCTGCTTCATTCTCTCATCTTCGCGTTTACGCCAGTGTGTGTTTTCTCTCTCCTCTCTCGCCTCAGCCCAGGACGCAGGCTTGGATGCGCTGGCGGCCGTCATCAGTCGACAGAAGATAATGGGCCAGGAGATCGGCAACGAGCTGGACGAACAGAACGGTAAAGTTCAGCGTGCGTCTGTACATATTCGTCAAACAAATTCCAGACGCATTACACGCTGCAGTGTGAAAGCAATCAGACTTGCTTCTGTTCGGCAATGGAACTACTTGCCTCATGTGCTTTTCTGCTGGGCAGTGATACTCCCTAACACCACTACATAGCACCAAGCACACACACACATACACACACAAATGAACATATGTGTCCTGAAACCACGATTATCAGAGAACCCCGACCTCACATTTAGGTCACGGTAATGGCTGTGTAGTTATTTTTGTCGTACACCCCGCAGAGAAATGGCTGTTCATGAAATTTAAATATATTAGATTTTTTTTTGTGTTGTGGAATCAGATCTTCTCAGAACTAATGGCGTCTTTGAGTTATTTCTGGCAAAAACACAGTTACTTAGCCCATAAATAGCGTCTATACGGAACAGAGTGCATTCCTCTGTTTTTCCTGCTTAGCCGGGGCGGTACATGAGACACGAGATTTAAAGATGATCATCTGTCAACCGGTGAACAATCAGATACTTTAATGCATTGCTATTGGAAGACCGGAGCAATTAATAGGCCGAGACCTGAGAGTTTTGCCTTACTGAGAAGATGTAGCTTGTGTTCTTGTCATTTTTTTTTTATATTTAATTAGAGGGGCTATATCTCTAATGTTTACACTGACAGCGAGCCCAGAACATGCATTAGCGTCTCATGTTCTCTGAAAAAGCAGGAAAAGAAAAATAACAGTTCAGGAGCCAGTAAGAGAGACGAGTAGATAATTTTACCTCCAGCAATAATAAAGGAGTGGTGAGGGTAAGTGACACTTTGACTATTTGTCACAGATATTTGAGCAGGAGCGGCTAAACTTTAGAGTTTTCTCGACCATGTAGACAAAAAAATACACGGTCTGAAGGCTTCAGTAATTAGCAGGCCGTGTTAGATCTGCTGTTCTACAAGAAATGAAATGATTGCAGTATTCTTTTTTTTTTTTTTTGCCCGATTAACCTCAGCAAAGATTCACAACCAACTACTCGTATGAAGTGGTCTCTCACACACCTACAGTACAGTTATTGTCTGCTGCTGCTTTGATGACCAGCCTGCAGTTGGGAGTAGAAGGCGTTGCACTATCGTGTAATATCCTGTCTGAGCAGTTGTGCCCAAACAAGTCCAGAGGTTGTATAACGGAGTGATCTCGGCGTGGAAATGTACGACCTTCCCTTCTGCTGGGAAGCAAGCGGCAGAGCTCTGCGGAGAAAGAAAGGAAAGATGATTGTTTTAGTCTGCTTTCCTCTTACTGTATTGAATCAGATCATTGCTTCCAACTGGCTTTTGTCCTGCTTTTTTTTTTCAGTCTGATGTCAGTGTTTTCAATAACATGAAGCTGGAGAGCCGCGACTGTGAATTACACCAGTTGCAGGATTTTTATTTTGCCGCTGGAAACAATGGCCGTTCCCATTTTTAGATCCCGCATGACATGGCTCTTAAAGATAGATTTGCTGGGAGCTTTATTTCTGTAAAGGTCAAAAATACACTACCTGTGGTTAATGGACTCCATGTGTTGAAACCTAAAGCATGCAAATTCGTAGAGGCCCGCACACGTTACCACCTGTTGTTTTTTCCCCCTCCCCTCGTGACATGCTTTGGTAATTAATGAGATTATATTGTAATATTCTTGTGGAAGTCAGTCACGGTGCATGAGTGTAACTCGTACCTGGGGGACGTGCAGGTCGTTGATGAAGCGTAGGAGCAGAATCCGATGGGTCCTCGCTCCTCGCAGACTCCCCTGGATCTCTGTCAACAATTTAGCTTCAGGTTGGGGCTGTTGACACCAGGTTATGATTTGCAGGGCCTGGTCTTCCGCAGCCTTTCTTTACCTTCCTGTGTTTCTTCTGTTTGTGGGGCCTTTTCAACAGCCCTTTATTTTATATCTTTTTTCTTTTTTTTCCCCCCTTTACCATCTTCCCTCTCTTTTCTGCATCCTCTCCGGCTGAGTTATGGCAGAGATCTGTTTTCTTTTGTGTTTGACAAGGTGGAAAATGGGAATATATCATACGGTGTAGTCCCCATTTTCTCCTAAGCCTGATTTAGAGTTCCTTGGAGCAACGCACAAGTTTTGACAGAGGAGAGTCGGTAGATTTGCCACACTAACAAAAAAAAGGTTGTGTGTTTATTTCTTTGTGTCAAGATACAAGTTTAAATGCAGTTCAGAGCGCAGATGAACTAAAAACTTCTGCCAGAACACTACGAAAGTAAATGCACTAAACAAAAGCTCTTAACTTGAGACTCCCCACCACAAATACACTGTAATCCTTTACAAAACACTGTTCTACTTATCAACACAACGAAAACAGTGTATTTTTTAATATTTATGCGTTAGGCTATATATTTTCGAAGCATGACATCTGTATAGTATCAGTTGAACAGTATGATCTCTGTCCTTGTTGGTTTTTTCTCTCAATCTTATGCTTCAGCTCTGCACCTTAAGTGTTGTTTTACCTGCTTTGAACAATCACGTACAGTTGTGACCCATTAAAAACAGCCTTAACATACCGACAGCCTTGGATTCTGACTCCGACATGACATTTTATGTCACAAATAAGGATAACGGCGTATTATCTGACTGAACAATCCGACAGATTGGCTACATTCAGACTGCAGGACTTAATGCTCAATTCGGATTTTTTAGTGAAATCTGATTTTTTTGGGACTTTGTTCACGTTTCCAGTTAAATGCGACTTGTATGTGATCTGCTGTGTGAACTTCATACGACCCAAAAGTGTCCCGCATGCGCACAAGAGGTCACAACAACATCACACGCCGCCGCTTCAGTGTTTGCAGAAGTAAACATGGATGGTAACGGTGGAGCGTATCTGCCACTCCCCCGCCGCCTCCTCCACTGATGGTGGAAACAGAACTGTGACCGCTAACTAAACTAGCATCAGCAGCCAAGTACTGCCTGTACGTTCCGGGCACTTCCACCTCGTCGGAGCGCTCCCCCGGGATGGAAGTGCCCCCCAGACCACGCCGAATATTCATCATTAATTGGGCCCAAATATCCAGAGACCAGAAAGTGCTATTGGGACCAGCCCTACTAGTTATTATAACAACTATAAACAATTAATATTAACAACAAATGAGCCTTCAAGCATCAAGCCCTCCTTGTATCTCGACCTCCGTCTTGACAATCCGACAGCCTTGCTATCCGACATAAAAGAAGGTTTTACATTTAGTGTCGGATTATCGAGTTACAACTGTACCTCAAATATGTTTCCTGAAAATACTTTAGTGATTTGCAAGTAATGAAATAATGAAACGGCAATTAGAAACAAAATATATTTTCCCATTCTTGCTGTGCGTATCAAGTTACGGTGCAGCAGCGTTGTTGCGACGATGGTTGTATTTATTGCAGATTGGATGCAACTCTAATGTGTTTTTAAAGAGAATCGTGCGCCTTTTCTGTTTTGTCTGCCAGGTTCGGCCACACTACAGACCCAGCCAACACGCTCGCTTTCTTGGCTAGTTAATCAAGTACCGTTTGCTTTTGTATCCTCATTAAAACAGCACTAACTCTGACGCAAACTGTGTTTTTATGCGTTGATATGAGGAATTAACACTTAATGAACGAATTTCTGCCTTCAACAAGGTAAAATCCTGGAACGTTTTCCTCGAGCCGCGTTCTTCCATTTCTTGGATTATTGCTTGAGACAGTTTTGTAGGTGCTGCTTGGTATTAAATGTCAAATTCGACAGTGTAAAACGTAAGAGTATAGTTTAATGTTTTCTGAGAGGCAAGGGAAATGGATTTAAGTTATGAAGCCGGAGAACGGCAAGACTTCTTGTTGCTCTTGACAGTTGGCGCGTAACCTTGGCGTCCGTCTGTCTTTCCGTCCTGTGGGGTTCCTTTTCCCCCCAGATCACTGTACTGTAGCGGTGTTTTCCTATAAATAGATTAAGCTCTTTGTAGTTCGGCTGCTCGAGTCTAGCTCATGACCGAAGTGCAGTGGAGGTTGCAGTCATTTCCTTTTCGGGAAACAATTCCGGCTGAGGTCAGCAAGGAAGATGACCCTTTTTCAGAGGTTTAAAGATGAACCCAAAGCCCCCCAGTTACTCCCATCTCGGTCCCAACTGAGTCAAAATAGACTGAAATGTAGAAATGAGTAACCAGACCAATTATCTCAGTTTCAGTCTCTGCTTTATGGCACATAACATTCATCCATTTCAAACTGCACATTTTCCATTTTGCTTACCCCTCATAGGATAAGAAAAAAATCAATCCTTATTGTTTGGGTGTTAAAATTAAATAAATTATGCGCCGTCATCTTTAAATAAAAATAAAAAAATCCTACATGATGTTACCGTTTCCATTTCCACGGTTTCATTTCCACATTAAATGTTGCTGAAAATAACCCGACACATACCAACTAAAATGGCTCGCAGTATTTTCCCTTACCGCTGAGAAGCATCAACATTAATTTTACTTTATTGGTGTTGATATTTCTCATACTGTGGCCTGGAACAGCCGCATCGGCCCCATGTCAGTGTCTTATACTCATGAGTGACAGACAGTGGCTGGCTCATTAAATTAGCTTCTTTTGAAAAGCGCCGGCGAACGTTTGAGGCTGTCTCATTTGTCAGATTTTTAATGGCTCTTTCTGAATTGGATTTGGCTGGTGGTGAAATACTGCAGCGTTGACACAGACCATGTACCTCGTGCAAGCCTCTCGTCTCGAGTTTACCGATGCGAGTAAGCAGAAGGTGTAACTGAAAATCATTTGATGTTGACACACCTGCGAACGGCTCAAATCAGTTATCAGGTGTATTAGTCTGCTCAGTGCTTCGTCGTGAGCAGACACTGTGTATCCAGCCTCGATCAATCAAATGAACGACTCATGAGTTCCTCTGCTTCCCATCGCCTCTCTGCATCTTTGATTGGTTTCCAGATCAACTAAATCTGCTCCTCAGAGTACAATTCAATGAATCACTGCCATTTGTTTCATGTATCTGTCGT